AAACAACATTGTTGTTCACTATGATCACCACGTGCGCACATGACCTCATTATAATATCATCCCGTGCTACTCCATACCCTAACCTAAACACCACCCAACGTCCAACCCAACATGCCCCCCAAAAAAGAGATCCAAGCAGAGGAACTGGGGATAAACCTCTCATCCAGAACCGAAACGGAATACTTCAAATGGTTCCTCGCATGTCTCCTATTCGGTAAGCCGGTCCAGCAAGCCGTCGCCAAGCGAGCCTTCCTTGAGCTCGTCCAGGAGGGCATCACTTCGCCGGATGCTATCCTAGACGCAGGATGGGATCGACTAGTCGAGATCCTGGATGAGGGTCATTATGTCCGGTATGACTTTTCGACTGCGACGAAGTTACTTGATGTCTCGCGTGTTATCAAGCAGGAATATGGTTCCTTTGGGGAGATGTTGAGACGGTTCGGGACTGAGGAATTGGAGGTGCGGATGCAGGAGTTTCGGGGAGTCGGGCCGAAGACAGTGGAGATCTTTATGAGGGATATGAGGCCTTTGCTTTAGTGCTTGGGGTATAGTACGGCAATGATGAGTCTTGGTTTTAGGGTTTGACTCTTGAGGTTGCCTTAGCCGGGAAGTGGATACTTGTACCGCATATATGTTTGTCGTGTGTCTTTTCTACTTGTAATTCTATGGGGTGGATTGCTTGTCATAGTCATACGCCAATTGTGTCATTCATTTAACAGAAAGCTGCTCTTCTTGACTTGAATCGGAGAACAAGTACATGCATGCTCGTCCAGTAGCCACGTTAGCATAGATGTACTCCCCCAATCTTCTCTCCCCCCCCCCAAAAAAAAAGAATTAAAAAAGAAACGTCAGCGACAGGATTTGAACCTGTGCGGGCGAACCCAATAGATTTCTAGTCTATCGCCTTAACCACTCGGCCACACTGACTATTCATATCTTGTTGTGAGATATTTGACAATATAAGCCAAAGAGTGTATTATCTATGAGGTACGTGAATAGCCAACCCTATACAAACACGTCAACGAGAGTGGAAATACATGAAAAGCTAGAAAAGTAGAAGTTTATCGAGTCGCTCTTGAAACTGGGTTGTGAATAAACCCAGGACTATATATCGAATCTCCTCTTTTGTCTGAATCTTCTTTTCGTCTGTAAAGGCGGTATAATATATAGATGCGGTCCAGGGTATTCTGAATAGTAGGGTCATAATTATGACCTTTCGACCTAAGTAGTAGGGAGCGTGTCTGCCTGGATCGCACGTCCTCATATCGTCATAGTCCTGCTTCTTTTCCTTCAAGTTCCTACCGTCACCTTTACCACCTCCAACACGCATCACCATATCCATCTCAATATCCATCTCCACCAGCTCCAACCTTCGCCCGCGCCTCCGTTATCGACTCGTTCTTCTTCTTCTTCTCTCTCGGAAATGCCTCGTGGTCGGGCATCTGAAGGGACTGCTGCATTACGCCGCTGGCTCAGGCGGAGAACGCCAGACCTACTAAGCATTGATGAAATGGTAACTAGTCTTTTATAGTACTTATTTCCAGAGAAAAAGCTAATCAGAAGATTCGGGACCTAGCGAAGAGAGCTCATCGATCTACAATATGAGATCGAAACTGCTCGTGAGCAAATCAAGAAAAAGGAGCAACGGATATCACTTCTACAAAAAGAACTCAGCGACCGTGTCGTAAGTGTGCGGAGACTGTTACTTATGGTTACTTCGGCTAATAGGATACGTGGTGAACGATAGAATCCTCCTTCCCAGCGTACAGCGCAAAAGCCTCCTGCGGACCGAGATTATGAATTCATCGAGAAGAACATCGTCCAGAAAGCCCCTGAGATTGTTGAGGACAGTGAGCAGGTTGACCAGATGTGACTCTCCATATCCACAAGCAAGTTCTACTCCATCTTTCAGGAAAAACACCAAGCTCGGTATCTACGAGGATACTTAGAACTTTGTTTTTGTTGTATCTCCTGAAATTTATCGTTTACTGTGTCTTTATCTTCTTTTCAAATCAAGAAGAAAAGCTTCTCTCTTTCACTGGTATCAAGAATTCAAAGTACATCATAGAATATCCCTTGTCTGCTTGTGTATGTGGTAGCTACACTGCAGATAGGCACAACGAAAGTCAGAGAGCATCCCAATCAGTTCAGATAACTAGCAATTATAACTATCATCAGGGTGACAAAGATATTGTATATAGGCTCTCAGAGTATCAGTTCGCTTTCGTCGCATTCCACCCCTTGTGGCTTAATAGGACTCAAAGCTAGGCCCCAGCTGAGAAGCTCGTCCTTCCTAGGCCAGGTAGGGCGTTCCTCAGCAAGGCAAAATTGCCCGAAGAAGTATCTATGTGTACACAGAAATAATAAGATTGCTGCTATATAATAAGGCGAAAAAACCCATAAGAAGAGGGAAGAGAACGCACAGCTTCTGCGTCCTTCGGTCCCAACTCAAGTTATCTAAGTCACCCCACCAAACATCCACACCGATATTGAATAAGATACTTTTATTGAGAGGAGATGGCAGTGCCAGCAGGTATCAGCCATTGCAGCTTGAGCATCGTATTACAGTAGAAGGAAGTGGCTTACGTGAAAGCTGATTCGAACTGTTGGCGTATCACGGCTCGCTCCTCTGCACTCAATGTCCAGAACATCCCATCCGGAATCGACGTTTCTCGGCAGCGCTTTTGGTCCTTTTGAGAAAGATTCAGTACCGCGCAAGGACTACATCTGCCTCCAAAGTCGCAGCCGACGGTTCCTGTTCCCAGAACGTCACCTGGGACCGAGGTGAAGACGACATATGAGAGAAACCCGCCCGGTACGAGACCATCGTCATCTTGGCGTCCGTGAGAAGAACCGAGAAATTGTGGTGTGAAATCACAGCCGTGAAGTTGTAGACACTTATAAGCTTCGACTAACTGGTAGAATTGTCTTACCTCTTTGTCGGTTGCTTCCTTGCGACGCATAGAAGGGGGCAGGTACATAGATTCTTCCGCAGGAAGTTGGAGATAGATGATAATCAGAGCTTGCTGGTCAGGATTGCTTGTACTACAGCATTTGAACTCAGCGCGGGCGTGGGGCAGCCCGCCCAACTCTTGCATACTCTGGCGGGACCTGATCTCAGAGTTCTCCATAACCTTTTCGGTGAGTTTCCAAACAGAGGGAGGTGACGAGACCTCGAGGGTCTTGCCGAGCCAGTACTCTTCTGGAAAGAATATACACCGCATAGTTAAAAGACAGATGAGATGGCGTTGGAAGCGTGAGTCTTGATCCAGCAGAAAATGAAAATGAGAGTAAGAGAAGAAATGTTGGATGGAGTGAGATGGAGTGAGGAAAGGAAGAAACGAGAGAAAAGGAAAAGGAAATAGAATGTGAGTGACAGGGGGGCTGCTAATCACCACGTAACTTCTGTCTTCCTTGGTTCACTATCAGACTTCCAGTCACTGCATATATTGTGCGGTCTAATGCCAGGATATTATGCATGATAGCAGAGAACAAACTTGACACGAATAAAAGGCTCATCTTAGCTTCGCTTATAACAAGCTACTGGACCCCAACACCGCGATGATGTGCGAGCCATCGCTGGGGACAGCACCCCATTTGGGTCCTTAATACATCGTCCTAGCCAGACGAGGTACCCTCTGACACTAGGCCTGATGTCAGATACAGCAGTATCTTTTATAATCAGACCCTTCACCCAGTGTCTTTCATAAATATGAACCCTACGCTTGCAGAATCACAATATTTTAACCTAGTTGTGTATTTTTTAAACGTTACAATTAACCTAACCTAGCCATTAGCCAGTCTAATCGCGAGTTAAATCTTTATTATTAAATAATTAGAAAAGTAAAATAGAGAACTGCTTTTTAATCCGATCACGCGTTCCCACAGGCCAGCGCGTAAAAACTTCCTGATATCCGTACCCCCATCCTCTCTGAGTAAGTGGCAAGAACTGCCTTTGAGGTCCTCCCATTCCCGAAAATTGTGCTCAATCACCTCTGCTATCCCTGATACGTTTAGGATCTCCGCAAGTCTGTAATGACAGTCTAAAAGGGCACGGTTAGGGAGGTCCAGGTCTTGTGCATCATGTGCTTTCTTCAATTCAATATAGCCACTCTCAGGAAGGAGTTGTCTGTCCAATTTTGGGTATCGCCTGAAGACCTTAACCTCATATGTGTCATCACGGTCCTAATTGCGTGTCTCCCTGTTAGCAAAACTGAACAATAGCATACGTACTCAGCTATTAGCTACTCACAGTAGGCTTGAGAGCGATAGAGAATTTCCCAAACTCGGTATGGACAGAGTTTCGTAGCGTTATTCCATTTGATAGATTGTTAATGGTTTCGACTCGTAATCCTTCTCGTCGAACACGGGGGAAACAGCGCCAGAGCACCTCCCATGCATTTGAGTTAGCATTTGGTGGCTCCTGGTATTTATTAGTATATAAGTCTCTATACACTTAGGATATACTACCGATGACTTGTTCCATGATGCATAAGAAAATGGAATAAAATGTGCGCCTTCGGTGGGGCCGAAATAAATATCATCTGGACATCCAATTGTCTCCCAGTAGTCAGTGTCCATTTGGCCGGTTACTATAAAGACTTATTCACAGTTTCTGCAGGACTCAGCAGCTCCGGCAGCTGCCTGCGAATGAAGCGGCGACCAGCTGCTGCTTGAGACGGACGTCGTGACATAAGATTAGAAGGGGGAATATGATGCGCCGTGGTAAATAACCGGACTATATTGAACTTGCCAGCCAGTTATAGGATCCTTGTATAGTCTGAGAAAGAAAGTCTGGTCATAAGTCGAAAAAAGCCTATACTTGACTTTGAGGTCGTACATGTATTCGACTATTTGACCTATACGCAGCAGTTAGTACATTCAGATAGTAGCGAGATCAAGTGTGCTAAGAGTAGAGGCATACCTGGGACATGCCGAAATTTGGTAATTCTTTTTACTGCCTTGTCTAGCTTATGCTGCTTTACCCAAGGGCCTTTGGGCTCACTTATGATCAGGATATCTGGGGTAGTGTTGAGCAAAATGAGATCGGGAATCTTGTCGTACTGCACTCCAGAACAAACGAAATCGCCAAAACTTAGTTGGAATTGTTGTTCTTGAAGACGGCTGTCATTACGTTCCCGAGATGCTCCTGCCAGCGGCCTTGGACCCCGGGTTCATTGCCGACATGACAGTGTGCTTGTTGAAGGCTGTGAGAGTTAGGTTCTCCAATAGGTCGCAGGTAGAGGGGATGTTGGTTGCTGGCCCAGTTGTGAGTGAGGAACTCCCATTCCACATCTCCGAGAAAATTAGGCCATGGGGCTAGGGGTCCGACGAAATGAATGTTATGAAGGGCGCTGTTTTTTGTCCGATGTTGTGACACGTTCAAGTCAGGGAGGCGCTCCTGGACGATGAGTTTGGAAGTCACGGCTTTGCTTCTAGGCATCTTGAATGAATCGATGGAATTATAAATCACTCAATCGAGACACGGTGTTGGATGCTAGATGCGTGACGAGGAGAGGAAGAGAGAGAGAGCAAACGAGGGCCCGGCAGATGCATTGCAGCAACTATCAATGGTTCTATTATGCCATATATTGGGAAACCGCGAGGTACGGTCGCACCTGCCTTTAAGATAGCATGTCACCTCAATTGTTAAACCCGATGTCGATAAGCATCTGGGCTGTTGTGTGTATACAGGGATTGGGATTGACCACATTGTTATGGCTGGACTGATAAGCTGAATACAGTTCCATCAATATGAGCCCTTTCATAGTCATTGTCGCGGCGTCGACCAGTCGAGGTTCAGACATAGTGGGAAGCTGCTGCGCGTTATCCTCTTGCTAACGCATCATTGTATAGAGAGGTAAACTAGTCACTATGAGTCTATAATAACAATAAAGCGCAGCATATAATGAACTGCTAAACTGGACACGTAACGTACTTTCCTTTCCTAAATGGAACTCGGCTGGGTAATTTGGCGTCATCTCTTTTGCCATTAATTCGCTGCCCCCTGAGAAGACATACTCCGGAGTACATGAGAATTGTGGGCCTATTGTGTTTTCAATAGGTGGCTCAACCCAAGCCATTCGCCGGGAGGTTAGTGGTTGGGTGATTCCCAGCGAATCCCTCCTGTTGTATGTTTTTACTGCTTCCTTTTATGTGCAGTAGATCGCTTCTCTGATATTGAGTGCAGCTTATTTGCCGCGCTGTCTTCACCCCCTTCAACCAAAGAAACTGTCATTCACTCGTTTAGACTTCATTTCATGAGAATAGCACTAATATTTGCGCAGGGCCTTTTGAATATTAACTCCTTGGAGGTCTCAACTCTACACAGTACGTCGGAGTATGTAACTTGTCTGTCTGTGACAAGCTTAGGCCACCTGTATGTCGATGCACTTGAACAATTTCTCTACTTAGTATTAGCTTTCTTCATTCCTATTGGGTAAGCCCCACAGAATATGGAAACCTTGTTGGCCTTCGTATCCACTTTTCAGGCTAATACTATGTAGATCATGAGGGGAGAGAGCCAGAAGATAGGGTGGAAAACATGGCCTAAGCGCTAAACTAAAGTAAAAGCACATCGACTCAGAGTTTAACACATGTTGGCTGGAACTCCACTAGAGGAGGGGTAAAGAGAAGCTTAAAAGGACTTGGGAGATAGAAAACAATATTATATTTATCTCTCCCTCCCTTCTCTGAACCATACTTGTTAGAAAGAAATTACATCGCAAACTACCCTTGATAATAACACCCAAAGACTGCCTTGAAAAGAACTATCATCATGGGTCTTTTCCACCATAATGGTAAGTTTCCCATCTGCTCACTTAATTCTCCCTAATTTCAGTGTCTCTTAACAGTTGAAGTACAGAGGAAGAATATGAAAAGGTTGTGAATGCCGACGAAGGCAATCAAGCGCATCTTTCCCATGAACTCATTGCTGCAGCCGCATCATATGAGGCTACGAAAGCATGGGAAAATCATAAGGCTTCTACAGGTGGTAGGTTGAATTTCTCATCGCAGTTGACAGAGGACGAGACTAACAGCGCCCAGAAGAGGTGAACCACGGAAAGATGAAGGAATTTCTTGCTGGTGCAGCTGGTGCATTCGCTGTTAAGATAGCGGAGACCAAGGGTAGAGACTTTCTAGACAAAAGGGAGGCAGAAAGGCACGCAAAGGAGTACATTGAAAATAATTACAGGGAGTAGCCGCACAGCCAACATCAACAAGATCTTGCTTGGTGAGTAGTTACTTCAGGCAGCGGCCTTTGGGAGCATCCGAACCATCATTCTGCCAGAGGAAGAGCGCCTGTACCTGATAGACCTTGACATATCCCAATCTATCACTTTCAGACCACGGCAACCGTACTTAGGAAATTCGTCGTACTGTACTATCTCAAGATGTGAATGAGATGTTCTGTTCAGCAGGGTGATACTATCACGGATGATGCCGAATTTACGGATTAATATAGCCGCCAAACGATTACAATTGTGTGCTATCAGGCATGCGATTTTGTCTTGGACGAAACCAGGGTCTTATGTCTTGTGAGTGGATAGGTAAATATCATGATTGTGAAGCACGAGAGATTATGAACTGTGTTGAGATACAGGATTCCCTAGACCTAAGAGGACACCACTCTGGCTTTTGAGCAACGAAGCGAAGGCGAATGTAGTTGACAGTAAAAGAACCATCATGCTGCTGTCTTCCAACAGCCTCGAGAACGTCAACGGCGTGTTTGACGGCTACATCGCGTGCCTCGGTCGACGGAAGGAGTTCGAGAAAGGGCTCACCAAACAGACGAATCCTATATGCCATCAGTTACAAGGTCGATAATTATTGGTGTCAACCTACCATCCTTCAAGACCACCATTTTCATGCTCTGTCAACGTGGTCTGTCTGAGCTGGACCTCGCCCTTGACCCAGTTAAAGCCTGTTCCTTCAACAAGGTTCTTCATAGCCTATTGAGATGGGAACCACCAAGGCGATGCCTCACGTGCCTGCTCAACAGGAATACTTTGAGTGGCTAGACCGCTGATAATTGCGGAATGCACCTCGGCCACATTTCCCAGCGTACCGAATTCATTGATCAGAAGGCCACCTGGTTTGAGCGCCTCGAAGCAGCCCTTGATCGTATTGGATCTGGTTTCAGGGTCTCTCAGTATCAAATGCAAGGCAGCGTTCGAAAAGACCTTGTCAAAACTCCCAGTTGTGAGGTCCGACTCTTGATCCAGCAGTTGACAATCGACAACCCGTGACTCAATGTGTGGGTAGGCCTTCTTGAAGTGTTGGATCATGTTGGGTGAGCCATCGACGCCCACAATTCGTTTAACATGGGAGCTATACGGGCTGTCAAGGGGCCTTCCCCGCACCCAATATCGAGAATTTCATCTGTCTTGTTTGCTAAGCCTAGCGATTGTCATCCGAAGTCTTACCAGTGGGCTTGGGGTCCAGCCATTCGAGAACTTTCTCAGTCGAAGTTGCAACGAATGGGGCCACCTTCTCGCCGTAAAGGTCGGCAGACCAGATGTCTTTCTGCTCTTTCTGCTGCGCCATGTTGCTATCTGTCCTTTCCTCAGTCTTCTAGATAATACCTGGACTAGGGTTTCAACGGGATTATAAGGCCATAGTATGTAAGCCCCGACATCGGAGTCTTGAAAGGCAGAGACGACAGGGACTCTGGGCGTGGACCGCTGGCAGACATTCATTCCGTTGCGGGCCGCTGCCAGCCGAACCCTAAACAAAGGTCCAAAGGATCAACAGATCGGTGGATCCGCGATGTGAGTCTCAAGCAATCAAACATGGAAGGATTCCACCTTCTTAGGCACCGATATTGGCTGCCGAGTACTGTTTCTGGTATTTCTAATCAATGTGCTATAGATATGAAGCATCGTCTTTGGTCTCAACATGCTTCAGTATAGCTCAGACGAACGGAAAGGCATACCTAGCCATTCTACCAGTATGATCGAGGAATCCAATCCCGATCCATACAGTTGGACGACAGTAAAGCTAGTACAAAGGCATTCCATATGCTAGAAACCAACTAGGCCTTCATTAACAAATATCGGATACCTATAGAGATGCCCTCAAGTGAGGTCCCCTCAAATCGCTCGGCTTCAGAGCTGCCGCATTATGAACACCAATAATAGCAAGGTTGATCTCAAAATCCGCCAAAAGACAACGAAGTACATGCAACGCACCCTCTTGTCCCTTTGCATCCAAGCCATAAATAACCGGTCGACCAACAGAGACTGCTTTCGCCCTGAGTGCAAGAGCATCTATCATACCTGCGCCTGTACGAGTCCCACGATCGAATAGAACATAGAGTAATCTCACCGCAGTTCGCATTCCGCCACTATTCTCAGGGGATGATTACAAGGCACTGGGTAAAAAATGACAGAGAGCAGCTCGGGCGCTTCCCAGTCACTCGTACATCCTTCTAACTCACAACAGACATCCAATTCCAAGTGTGAAGCTTCTACTGCTCGACAAACCCTCGACCCGGGGCAGACACACAATGGATCCGGGCCCGGTTCTTCAGTACACCAGGGCGAGCACGTTGTCCCCGATGAAGCAAAGTTGCCGTACTCCGAGTATAGGGATGTCAAAACCCCGGAGTATCCATCGACATGGAGGCTGGTCATTATCACGATATCGTTGTTCCTCGCCTTTTGCTGCTCCGCGTTGGTATGTCGTACACTCTTCATCGGTTTGGCTGTACAAACAAAAAAGAATTTGGGGGGAGATCATCTAGCTGACTAGGGTCTTGGTTCTAGGATAACACGATCGTCGCAACGGCAATCCCCAGGCTCACCAGCCAATTTCACTCGTTGGGAGATGTTGGATGGTACGGCAGTGCCTATCTTCTCACCACGTGTGCCATGACCCTGATTTTCGGGAAGATGTATACGTTTTACTCCTCCAAGTGGGTCTACCTGATATCGCTGGGCATCTTTGAGATTGGTTCATTGGTTTGCGGTGTCACCAGCTCCTCGTTGGGACTGATCCTCGGGTGCGCCATTGCAGGACTTGGATCGGCAGGAATCGAGTCTGGGTCAATCCTGGTGGTCTCCCAGACTGTGCTAGTGGCTCGAAGGCCCCTCTTTATGGGCCTCTTTGGAACAACATTCGGGATTGCTAATGTAGTGGGACCCCTACTTGGAGGAGCACTGACCGACTACCTCAGCTGGCGGTGGTGCTTTTATATCAATTTACCAATTGGTGCAGTCACGGGTTCCTTTATCTTGTGCTTCTTCAAGACACCTCAGCCCGTAAAGCGATGCGCTGGGCTAAGGGAACAATTATCGCAATCAGACCTGGTCGGGATGTTCTTCTTCCTGACCGGCATCATCTGTCTACTGCTGGCATTGCAACGGGGAGGGGGGCAATATCCCTGGGGGGGAAGCCGGGTAATTACCTTATTTGTGATCTCCGGGGTCCTCATCCTGACATTTATCGGCTTGCAATGGTGGCGGCAAGAGAAAGCAACGATCCCTCCCCGCTTGATTGCCAATAGAAACATGTGGGGGGCAGCACTGTTTACCTTTTGCGTGAATGCCTCCTTTATGGTCTTCGCGTTCTATGTAAGCAGATATCCCGAAGAAGTCCCGTTGCGCCAGTGCACCTAATAAAAGATTCCTTTAGCTCCCGATATGGCTCCAAAGCATTAAGAACGTGTCCGCGACACAGTCAGGTATTATGACCCTCCCGATGATCCTGGGCATGGTCACGATGAGTCTGCTCTCCGGCATCCTTGTGACGCTGACCGGGTACTATACACCGTTTATGCTCGTATCCCCAGTGCTGGCATCTGTCGGCGCAGGGCTTCTCTCGACTCTTCGGGTGGATTCAGGCCATTCCGAATGGATTGGGTACCAGGCATTGTACGGCATGGGCATCGGAATCGGCATTCAACAATCGGTGATAGCAATCCAGACCGTGCTCTCCCCAGATGACATGCCCAGTGCTACAGCGATCCTCATGTTCATGCAAACCCTTGGAGGCGCTCTCTCCATTTCGGTTGCGCAAGCTATCTTCCACACCAGCTTATTGCGAAATCTGCGCACCGAGGCACCTGCGTTGATGCCGCGGCGATAGCAAGAGCGGGCGCAAACTCATTTCGAGACCAGGTCGATAGACACCTGTTACCTGCTGTCTTACACGCGTACAACTCGGCCATTGTCTACTCGTTCTACGTCGCGATCGCCGTTGGCGTCTTGGCCATCTTTGGGGCTTTGCCCATGAAGTGCATCTCAGTTAAACGGAAATCGCCCTTATCGGGGTAGTATCCCCGGGATATACGTCGATCTCGGCGCCTGGAATGCAGGTACGCCATCGCTTCATCGACCACAAAGGTCCCGTTGATGACTTATTTAGGACACTTCGAGGGCACGGCCATGGCGGCTACCGTCCTACACGAGGAGAAAATATAATTCCGTGAAACAAGCCGGTTGCAGCACTTAATAAATAACTTGTTGACTGAACTCGATTCGCCTACATACGTCCCGCTGCGCGTCATGCCACATCAGTAGGGATGCCAGTCAGGGTCCTGGGCCATTAAGAAACATCTTAATAAGACGTAGGAGTCGTAATAACTATACATGGCTGTGTGGATGTGTTGTCATTGGTGCCCCGTGAGGCTGTTCTCCTGCAGTTAAATGATCGACTAATGCTTGGTTACTTGGAGAGAAAAGAAAGGACCAGGGATTTATAAAAATGTGCACGGTATGTATAATCCGTTTAGTTGTCGCTATCAATCTACCTGGTACATACTGAGATTTATCTCTTCAATCGAGATCGGGTTTCTATTGGAATATTTATTATTCTTATTCTTCGCAGACCGTGGTAGTAGTGTTGAGGTCTCTTCATGCAGGGTGCAATGCCTGACACACTCTCACCTGCAGCGCCCCAAGTAAATGATGTCACAGCTGTATACTGTATATACTTCCAACACCTCAGCAAAATTGGATCCCCACATTCTGAGGTTCTAATTTTGTCGTTGAAGTGGTGTGCTGGTCAACCTGGACACGTTGGACTGTCCGCCCCGCTGCAACCTCCGCCTCGTTAGGCACGAATTCCTCTTCAGTGAACAACATCCTTTTAATATCCCACTCTCCTCAGATGCTTTCTTCTTGGGGGATAACTTTCTTTACCTCACACAATGCGTCTGTTAAGCGCCAAAACTCTCAAACTGATCGATTTCCCACCCGACCAAATCCCGACCTATGTGATTCTCTCGCATACGTGGGGAGTGGAAGAGATCCTCCTCAGTGATATCGAAGATCCTACCGCAACACGAAAGAAAGGATGGCACAAAGTCAAATCGGCCTGCGCTCAAGTTATCAAAGATGGATTCCAATACGTCTGGATCGATACGTGTTGCATCGACAAAACAAGCAGCGCTGAGTTGTCGGAGGCGCTGAATTCGATGTTTTTGTGGTATACGAATGCCGACCTATGCTACGCGTACTTATCCGATGTCCCGCGAAATTGTGACCCTTATCAGGAACGCTCGGAGTTTGAGAAGAGCAGGTGGTTTACAAGAGGCTGGACCCTCCAGGAACTGCTGGCGCCGCGGGAGATTGTTTTCTTCTCGCACGAGTGGGAGAAGATCGGGACGAAAAGGACTCTGGCAGCGACCCTGTCTCGAATCACCAACATCGACGAAGAGGTTATCGAGGATCCGAGCCAGCTGGACTCAGTAAGCATCGCGAAGCGAATGTCCTGGGCAGCACATCGAAAAACCACCCGCCCAGAAGACGCGGCATATTGTTTGATGGGGATCTTCTCGGTAAACATGCCCATGATGTATGGTGAAGGAGAGGAACGGGCGTTTATACGACTCCAAGAAAAAATCATGACACAGGACGACGATCGCTCGATATTCGCATGGTATGACCCTAAGGCCGAGGCTAGCACTCACCACGGCTTGCTGGCCACGTCTCCTGCCCAATTCGCTTTCTCGCACAACATTGTGGCATATCGTGCCTGGGAATCTCATGATCCATTCTCAATGACCAACAGAGGTCTTCATATAGACCTCCCTATTGTTTATGATAAAGTCACTGATACCTACCTTGCATCTCTGGACTGCGTCGTGGAGACTGAAGACAACCCCTACTCAGGCTTCGTATCGATCGTCCTCAAGCGCGTATCCTCAATGGGTGACCAATATGTGCGCACCAGCATCAACCAGCTGATGTACATCGATGCACGCGGAAAGCCAACACCCCTTTACGTCTACCAGAAGATTGCACCGTCCAGCCCACGACAACCTTTTCCTATGCCCGTATTTGAACTTCCACAGTCTTCAGCAATGAGTAAGAATGCGGTTTTGTTCGTTCGAAAGGGTGTACGCGTGGAGCTACCCAACCCTGCTTTAAAGATGCAGCGCTTCTCATCCAACAAAGGATCAAGAAGAATGGACATTTGCATCGTCTTTTCCACATCTTCTGGAGTGACCGTCGTGGTCATGCTGGCAATGCAAAGTGCCAATCTGCTCACCTTTGGCGCCTTTGAACATACGGATCGGCGTTCTTGGAGTGTCAAGGATATACCATACCTCAGCGAGAAGTTCCAACCCCAGGCATTGGGTACGTGGGTCAGGTTGGTCTGCCGGCGTGTACGGGTGATGGCTGAGATACGCGAGAAGCACGGGAGAAGGTGGTGCTCGGTCACAACCATTGCTGTCAGGGAGGCCTGAAGTGATCATCCTTAAGCCGAGGAGCTGGTATCCTCTCCATTGCGTTTCTGGAAATTGTACTCTTTTTATATACTATTTTGATATTACTTGTCAACGATACTTGTACGAATAACAGTCTTTCATATTACACAGCTGGCAAACCTTCACCAATAACAGGTCTCCCGAGATATCATGCTTTGCTATCAAGATGTAGCGCGTGGGAGGATTAGGTGTGACCTAAACTGCACGATCGATTTCATGTACAATCACTTCATTACCCGGCGCGGCTCTTCTCACAGTGAGGACTATAAGCAACTGCCTTGCAAGTACATAATATACATAGAGAAATCACTTGGAGTAAGGCAACGTCCGAATGTGATATGACTGAAATGTCTTCCTCTATCCCTTGGAGAATTGTTGGATATACGCCTGTCTCTAGTTTGACGAAGACAGACCCCATTTGTCTCAAACCACACCTCGAATAGTCCCTTCTCAAAGTCCCTTAGGAACTCTGTCTTCGCTCTAGTACACACCTGACTGGATCCCCTTCATAATCCTTTGTTGGCCAGTCCCCAATATTATGCTCTGATGATACCCGTGTGATATGCGGGCCACCCTCACCAAGGATCAGATTCCCTGGCGACAGTTTGGATTGGCATCAGTACGACGCCCCACAGATACATGAATCTGAGCATCCCGGGGAATATTGCGGGCGGTTCCACGGGAAGGAGGCCATCGAATAGGTCTCCACGACTCGTCCGACTGCAATTTCACGCGACGAAGCGGCAAGTACTCCAAAAGACATCTCTTCAGCACAGACACTGTAGACAGGTCGTTGTTGAATGCTAATGGGTCAGGGAGTACTCCTTCATTTCTAGAGAGCTCAAGAGCTGTGTGGCTGGAACTCCAGGAGGAGAGGTCCGTCTGATTGAGCGTGCTATCGGATGCCACTCTTTGAGTACTGGTCAGGCCCTCAGAGTGGTGGTTTGGATAAGGTGATAAGTGCTCGGAATGCCGGGATCCCGTTCGAATATGGGATGATCCACCGAAGGATTCCTCCCGACACTCGAAACGTTTGAGCTTTTGCTCGTCAAATTGGAGTCCCGCGCGTTTCGCTTCCTGGACCATCCAAACCAGCGGAATGTGGCTGAGGGGCCACGTTTCATCTTTGCTGACTTTGTAACCACCACCAATATCTGCGTGATCTCCGGCGAACCACATTTCTTGGATGTCTTGGTCACCATTACCGTCATCATCATTGTCTTCTACCAGGCTAACAGCATCTGGATGTGCAGCCGAGAGCCCTGATGTTCCACTTTGTGACTCCCATTCCTCTGGAGCTCTAGCTAGCATCAGCACAGTCCGGCCTTTTCTTCGCAAATTGTATTTGGATCCAGATGCGTGGTATCCCTGGCATTGGTGATTTGAAATACTCTCGGTATCAGAGGAGGAAGAGCCGTAGGGTCGTGGCTCAGACCCTTCCGAAGGTCGTTCGTTTGGCCGAAGCCGTCCTGTACTCAGCTCACTTGGGCCCTGGTCATGTTCGATGGTTGATATCAAGTCCTCTCGATACATAGCGCGGCGCTCATCGATCACCACGGCATGCCGGATGACCCTACTAGAAGTGCGAGGAGTATGTAGGAACTTAGTTCTGCGCATACCTGGAAGCTCAAACCATGGCACAGTATGAACAGAGTCAAACAGACCCATGAATTTAATACGCGTGATTGGGCGGCAGAAGGCTTCCCGGAAGGCCTCGAGATATCCAAAGAGCTTCTTCTTCCTCCTCCGTTGCCCCTCGCTATCACTGCGCTGCTGCTGCCACTTAGCGAAAGTCTTCCAAACAAGATGGACCTGTTTCTTATCTCCTTCTAGGAGCACACCGGTATAATCCAGCATTTCAGCTAGAACGCGCGAAACATGAGCGCCGTGGCCGAAACCGAACAAATATAACTGGTCACCGGGGGAGTAATGTCGCATGAGGAACAAATAACCCCCCATAATATGTTCGCCAAGGGAGGAGCCAATAGCAGCATTTTTCATCTTCAAATATTCGTGCTTAATGCGTTGAGTTCGGGTGTGATATGGTGATACGTGGGTCCCAATTCCTGGTTGATAGTGGTGGAAATGCTCGCCTTTGCCGTGATCCAACATCTATAAATAAGTCGCAAATAGGTCAGAATCAAGGCAATCACTTTATCATGCTTGTATTCTTGTTTTCTCTCGTGAAGACTGGATTATGAAGCCTACCCGAAAAATTTTTAAGACATTACTGTCCGATTCATCTCCCACAAACGTATTTCCCAAGTCGTCGAAACATAATACAATCTGCTTGGGCGAACCCATTTCGATTGCTATTCTCTCCTCTCTCATACGTAAGTCAACTCAGCGCCGGCTTGTACCGGTGTCACTTGGTAGGGCATTCGGAAAGACAAGGGACAGAAACGCGTGGACAAAAGCCCGCGCCTGGGGTAGAGGCGATGTCGAGGGGTCCTATCTACAGCCCAGAATATAACAGGAAGGTGCATAGCGACATGCAGCACTCATCAGCCGAATAAATATATGGAAATACTCCTCCGGGGATTGCGTGCATGCGACTCAAGTGGCGAAACAGCAAATAAAGTGATCCTTCATCCTTTCCACATTGCAGGGAAAGGTTCCATCCCTCTACCTCCCCTTTTCGTTCCCCGAGTCTGGCACCAGAAATGTCGAGGTCATATCTCAGTGGCTTGCTAGTCCTTGAGTCGAGTCAGGTGATACGTTCTATGATTATCCTGACATGTCACGACTCACAGTCCATAAAAGGACCATGTTACGTTTGACAACTGTGGGGGCGCGAATTCCAAGTAATTTGGCCTGTCATTTGTTGGATTCAACTGGTGCCCATCATGTTGTAATGCACATCCCTGCAGGGTGTCCAGTAGTGGATGATCTCTTCCACTGTGGTGGTCTACATCGATCTGTTTCGGTGAGATTCAGCAGCCCACGCAGGAAATTCAGCCTTGCATCCCCCTGGCATAACTGAGCATGGAATATGGGATCTTCCACCTGCATGGCGCAGGATATGGCTGTGAGAAGTGTCTCCATTACCGGACTGACCAAAGTCCTGGGAGAACAGAATGGCAGATCCCACCCGGATATGACACTTCAGATTCTTACCCCTTTTCACCTGGAATCAAGTCACCAGTAATGTGTGTCCCCCTACTAGGTCCTGACCACATTCATCACTTTAGGCTCTGCTGGGCAGCATGACTCCGTCTAGAGGCCGGCTTGCTCTTGCATACGGCAGGATACACTACACACCCACAACCCCCACGTCTGCGTTCTTGTCTCAGTTTCCATTTGGCTAGAAAACCCCGAAAATCGGCCGCCCGGGTCCGGTGCAATGGTGCTGCCTATGTAGGCGAGCCATTGCAAAGGCGTTGGGCAACTGGGTGGCGATTTTCCTTCAATACTTCTCTGGAGGTTAGTTGAAACAGGGAGCTCAGGGCGAAGTCAAACTTCTGCTGTCACCTAGAGCGACGGGCAATTGAGATTCTAAATAAAGCTGTCTTGGCAGGCATGAGACGGACTCGTAACTGGAGTATTCTATATATCAATCTGGCTATGTTACATTGACTGTCTTCTGTTATGAAGAACTTTCTTCCGGCGGCAGATCTTGTGCCAAGCTTAAGATGCCAATCGTGCTATGTCAGAAGCTTTTGTTCACTAGTATTTGTGCTCCTGCACTGCAGATATTTAAGCAGAACTCTTTGAGTTTGCAACTTGGTTCAATAATAGAATGGCGATGCATTGTGATGTCATTCAGCTGGTAGGCTTCATCGAACCCACATGCACATAAACACAAACACCTCGCTTTCTACATATCCTTGAAACATCATGATGCTCTACATGACTCAAATTATCGGATTAACTACTGGAAATGAGTAGAGGCGCAGCACATGTAGGAAGAGTGTACGTTACAGGCAAGCTTGGTGTTCACGTCATTAACTGACTGATTGGCCGCGGATATTTGTGTGAAACAGAAGGGTCTAGCCATACACTGTGCTGTGCTCAAAGAAGGTTGTTGTATGTAGTTGAGTCCATCTGGTACGAGAACATCCATCACTGCTTCTAACGAAGCGGTGCAATAGTGATATAGTAACTTTGGGGTAATTTTCTGATTGAGCACCCACCTGGTGACTGCAGGTGTTTGCATTAAGGTACTTCATAAAATTGAGTATCTGACCCACTAAAGTCTCATTTCACTAGGGCTAGTGGCCCTGTCCTCATCAGGACTAGCCCTAAGTAATTCGTAGATGTCTAGCTCGATGATTCATTGTTAGAAGCCTTCCTTTCATGATGTTGTTACCTCTTTATCTCCGTCTGCTATTTTAGAACGTCAAGGAATGTTTCTGTCATGGCATCAGAAGGTTATTGATTTGGGATACTATCGCCGCAGCACAATACTCGCTCACACTCTTCACGATGTGAATATGCTCTTAAATGTGAATGTTGTTGCTGCAACGGCATATCATAACTTCCAAGCTGAAAACACGCAAGTGCTATTATCGGTAATGATCAGGTACGGTACTCAGCTCTAAACGTATCTTGCTAATTGCCTGATAGAGGGCGGAGCTAGGTACATCATGAGATAATTCAAGTATCATAATAAAACGTAACCGGCCAATGTAGAAATCATGTGTTCCTCTGGAAAAGTCCTTCGATCTGGCTCGGATCGAATGCAGCCGCGTCTACCTCGATGCCATCTAAATAGAAGACCGTCAAGGGTAATTCATCTGGTGAATGTTCGGGATGAATAAAGCCAGAATCGACAATGTAAATGCTCAACCCATCATGGTCTTCAGCCTTGCTGTAGAACATGGGAGCGAGTGGCGATTCTGGTCCCATCTGGGGATCCCAGTAATGGATGATGGTTGGCTTGCCGCTCTCGATGACTTGGAGGACCTCGCCAGGACTAGAGAAGAGGCATAGGAGTTAGTTTTGATTATCATGGACAGGATAGAAGATAGCCAGGTAGGAAGGCGTACTCTTGGAGTGTTTGAACAGACATATTGAATGTTTGTGGTGGTCGGGCTTGGTATATTCGGTACGGTTTTGTTCTTGATGACTGTGTAGGGCAGATTGGAGGAATAGAGTGAGAGAGAAATTCAGAGGAGGAAGAATGACAATTTATAGCCGGGTGGGAGGAGTTTCAGCTACAATCTTGACCGCAGTAACGTAACATAGTGGCCATAAAATGTAGATCTGGTGGGGTTTCAATCACTGATCGTCGCGGGGCCAAAGCTGGATATTTGTTGGCAATGCCGATGGGTGGAGATTCGGGCTTGACACTGGCGAGTGAAATGTCCAGGAGAATCACGGTGAGATCTGATTCAATCGCATCTTGCAGCTGGTGGTGTATTAAGTTTTCAGTTTCAGCTCAGCCTTCCCAGAGTATTTACTCCAACGGCCGGTGATGTATCTTATACCCACCGTATGTTCAGCTGGAATCACCGCAATTCTCCGTTCTCCGGCCCGTCGTTGGTTAATAGATTACCCCCATGGGCTACTTCATATACAAATATTTCAAGAACTAGAGTTGAAGTGGACCTAGCAATTACTAGGAGCTTCAAAAGGAGCGCACCGCGCAGAGAAGTCCAGTTTGTTGACGAGCATGGATAAATCCACTCACGGCTTTTGAGCCTATGAACCTAGTATTTCGATCAAAGCCATCTAGATTTTTAATACATTTCTAGATACCTTCATGTGGAACAAGAAGCTCCCTAGTCTCGGACTAATAAAAAGAACACCCATAGGAACAATACAGCCAGCACTACCACAGCTGTACGTATGTAAGAAACCGCCTCCACCAGGGCTGCTCATAGTAACGGTCGAGAACCATGATTTCCTCCGCCCCCAGGGTCCGTCTGCCAGTGATGCAATCCGCGGTCTTTGGGTCTCTCCACGGGGTTCTGAAAATAATTTTGTAAGCGAGGGTTAAGCCGGCGATGACCCAGAGCCCGAGTGTGTACTGGAAGAAGTTCTCTGCAGTAAAGGTAAGGCCGCCCTATGAGTAACCGGGATCTTGTTAGCCAGGTAACAGTTTTGCCTTTGCTTGCCTCTAAAGTTAAGAGGGCAGGAAAAGAAAGGGGGTGGCTTGACATACAACAGGCTTAACACCGCATCCAACACAGCACGCCAGCAACATGAGGGAAACCAACATAAGCCACGCTGGAGCCGTGGGCCAGAATGTCGACTTCCACCCATATATCTCGGTAAACAGCTGGTCCTTTTGTGCCTTGAGTGCGCAATGGAAGCGCCAATTGGTGAAGGCGATAATACCCCAGTTTGTAAAGAAAGAAGCGCTACTGATAGCAATCAGCCAGTTCAGCACAGTGAGGCCTCCGGCTGTAGGATACCTTGACGGTTAGAGCTGTATTAATGGATAATTTTCCGAAGGGGTTCACGCTTACATGCAAGTTGGATATAAGAAAGGATGGCGGAAAACACGCTGGTGATCACCAGCGCCCATCTCGGCCTGCCTCGAGAATCAACTTTGGCGAGAACTTCCGGAATGAGACGTTGATGCGCCATCGTTCTCAACACTCTTGAGGAGAGATAAACGCCTTCTGCAGAAATTGCAAGCACTCCGCATATCATTCCGGCATTCAAAATGGACGGAACCACCGGGATACCTGCGTCTTGAACGGCGATGACAAAGGGAGACGCAGCGACTCCGCTTCCACTGAGTAGACGCTCATCGTTTGACGGAACCAGGATTGTGATAAAAGCGATGCTGACCATGTAGATGAAGTTCACCCGGAATGGAACGAGCTTTGTCGCGTGTGCCATCGAGAACCGTGGACTTTCGGCTTCACCACCCATGATTCCAATGAAGACTTGATCGCCAACTGCCCAGACAGCCAGCAGGGCGCAGTTTGCGAACCCCTATTTCCGTTAGATCTGAGGGAGCTATTTTAGCAAGGTTGCCAATTGGAACATACGGTGAATCCATTGAGAAAGGGGGGAAGGTCTGTCCAAGTTTCGCCGTGATGGACGTAGCCGTTCGGTCCAGCGCCCAAAACCAGGGCCAAGGCAAGCACAATGATTAAAAGGAAGAGGAATATTTTAATGATAGAGGTGATGTATTCGAACCAGGCAAAAGCCTTGTTAGGAAGTAAGAAGACAAACAGGCAGACTGCAAGGAATATGGTGACTGGGCAGCATGTTAGACACCATCCATGCCCATGGCTGAGACACACCGGGTATACTTACCTGTAGCTGCAAGGGGCAACGATCCCTCTGCCCAGTACTGTACTAGTACATTGAAAAAGCCCGCTTCTGACGCCACAATTGCGCTCCATGCTATTTGCTTGTCAGAATAATGAGATGTCATGTTTCGCTTCAGATGCACAAACCAAGCCACTCTGCGAAACCCGCCCCGAAGGCCAAGGCAGGATCAACCCACCGATCAGCATAGTCGATGTAGTTGCCTGAGACGGGGAACGCGATAGTCATCTCAGACAAGGACTGCAGTACGGCCCAGACCGCGCTGCAAACCATTCCGTAGGCAAGGACCATATTCCCTGGACCCCCCGAGGCGAGAGCCTGGCCTGTTGCGATAAATACTCCGCTGCCGATGTTGGAACCGAGTGAGATAATCTACATGGTTCCTTGTTAGTAGCCAAGGGAAGGAATGATTCTGCGACATTCACTTGTTCTTACATGGACCTGGCGCGGAGAAAAGGAACGATGGAATTGACCATTTCGAGTGTCCTGTGTTTCCATCATGCTTCCGTCGTGCAAGCTGGTCGACGGATGGAGCGTGTCGCTCATATCTCTTGTCTTTTCAATCTCATGCTTGAGCTGAGGCTCTGCAGAGAGTGAATCCTTGGAGTCCAACATTGTTATCAAATGGGTCTATGTCATACAATTCTATACAATACAGAAGGAGACGGTTTGTATTTGCTAACAAAGTCGTAGTTGTATGGGTAAATTCACAGAGCGATTTGCAGAACATCCATGAATGTACCCCTCTAGAGATTGAATGAGAAAGACAATTATATCAACCATCTTGTAATAAACCATAGGGGATAGATCCAGTATATAAGAACACTCGTATAAGGGATCTCGAACTTTAGGAGCAAGGGATCAACGTGGCCTAATCACGCGGCTAGCCAGCGTCTACCCTTACTGCATGCGGCAAAAAAGATGAGCAGGACGTTTCCCCAGATTTCAAGCGTCCAGATAGCCAAGTAGATGTTGTTATCTCCTCTCGGACTGCGGCCAATTGCCGCACGGACTCTACGTCACCATCTGATACGGTCCAATCAACCCGTGGATAGGTGGACAGGAGTGGAAACGCAGAAGCATACCTCCATATCCCATATCAGTATTGTCTTTCCGCGGGAAAGCACTTCCGGGGCTTGGCTTCCCTTTGTGATTAAGTTGCAGAAAAGGATTCTATGGTGTAGCAAACAGATCAATCGATATCCAGATAAGGTATCCGCTTATCATTGACCAATACTTAGCTAACCATCTCTCTTCCAGACACTCAGAAGCGGCCCCTCCTTGCCATATATGGGATCGTGGACAGGCAATGGCACTTGTCTGCACTTTTCGCGCATCCTGTCCGTCTCCTCTACTGAATCCAATGCATACTCCATGTCGTACAGTTCCTCAAGAGAATTCCGTTCGTTCTACGCCATCACCCTCAGTATGCCCTGAATACGAGATCACTTGTAAGTCAACTCACCAGCAAGTAATAGCCGATAATTTCGTAATCATCCTCCGTGTCCGTTACAAAGTGCGTAACCCCAGCCTATAGAGAGTAATATCAGCCCAAGTCACTTATATACAGTCCCTCCTAAAATCCATGGGTATGTTTAAGATTCACCGGAAAAATAAAAACGTCCCCCGCACGAGCAACAAATTTGACCCCGACTGGATTACCCTGTGCGTCAGTGTCCGGGTCCAACGGGGACTTGCCCAGGAGATAAGTTCCGCTGCCTTTCAGGACGGTGTACGCCTCGTGCGTGGTGGCGTGGTAGTGGGGCGTAGCGGCGAGCTGTTCACCGGAGATTTTCCAGTGTCCTCCCCGCGGCCATTCGCTCGTATACACAGAGGCAACGGCACCATCGAACGTCCGGTCAATCAACGCCCCTCGGAACGCGATGACTGGGAGATCAGAGTTGGGCGAGTGCGCTGTCGGAGGGACGGGGACAAGTTCGGGGGGTACTTTATTGAGGGGCATTATACGTCTCTTATCTTTGGCAACTGTTCTGGAACGTTATAATGTGGTCATATCATCTCTTTTACGATGTCTACATACTATATATCTCGTTTGAGTGCTCCGATACCCTATCTTGTCTTATCTCGGAGGTGCATCCGATCTATGTGGGGAAAGGACCAGAGGATATCTCCACTGGAGGTCTTGAATGATAAGAATACGGTGCCAGGGCTCAGACCCCGCATGAAAGACCTTGGCAGCACCGAGGAAGGTTTTCATAATGAGGGGATGCGAAATTGAGGTCATATAGCCAGGCCATCTTTGACTTGGAACATGTGTAGCTCATGCAGTTGACAAACAAATCTGACCATCACAGCGTGGGATGGTTGTTACTCTCATCCATGGCTAAATCAAACCCCACCCAGTCAAGCATCCCATTCACGTCCAATGTACTGGCCACCGTCATCAGCTGTGAGGCAGTGATATCATGCGTCAGATCCCATGGCTCGACGTGCCCTAACCCCTCACCACCGATCAGACCCAGGCCCGCAGCTTCGCCGTCCCGCATCAATTCCTCTCCATTATCATCGTCTTCTGCTGGCTCCGGTACCGGATGGCACCCGCTACCTGTGTCGCCTCTCCGTGCAGAACCCGGTGTTTGAAATTCACTTAAAAGCGCCTCCAGGTGCTCCAGCTTGTTCTTGTGCGCCTCGGCCACCAGGTTTCCCTTCTCAACCATCTCTGCCAGAATAGCAAATACACCTTCTAAATAATGACGAGGACTTTCAACTAAGAATGGAGCTACGATTGCGGCCATGCACATGATCACGCCGGCAGAAATAGCGCTTTCGAGGTCAAATGGAAGAAAGTGCTCTGGGATTCGGGAAATGTTAGAGTATACAATTGTAGGAAGTAGAACAGGGAACACACCGAGTAACTGTTGGCGCTGTAGCGCCTGCAGTATGTGGATAGTCTTTTTCGCAGAGTCAATACACACTTGCAGGAGAAGCCTAATCGAGGAGGGTATGACGATTTCGGGGTTCTCAGACCGGATACGCCTGATTATCAGACCAACAAGGAATGGCCGGGTAGCTACCATGATACACTGGGAGTGCATAATCAGTCAGCTGTACGACACCTAACGCCGCTAATCATAAGGTACCTGATGATATAGCAGATTCATATAGCCAGTGTCCCGCGAGATCCCATTTAGTGAACCCTCCTCAGGGATCGGAAAGTGGTCCGTAAGCTCGGGGGCCACGCCGGCGACAGATTGCAGCACCTTCTGTGCATTTCTTACAAACTTGGCGTTGACATGACTGTCCTGCCCGTAGAGCTCTACAGATCCGTCAGCATCTTTGTTATGATTCCGTGTAGATTGCAGTCATACTGTCCACCACTATCCCAAAAGCCTGGCTGAGCTTCACATGTATCGCCATCGTAGCGCCCCTGTTCAACGACTCCGGGTAGGACGGCAATGAGGCAGTGATATCCTGGTTACTGACACCTGAAGGAATGCCCATAAGGACTGACATCTGCCGTTCGAGATTGAATACAGTCCACCAAACCTTTCGCGATCGCTCAAGAGCAGAATCCTCGAACGTACCTCGGGGAATATTCGTATGGTATCCGTGCACAAACATAATCCGAAGAGCCTGTCCTATCTATTTGGTATATTAAATGTTCTGTATGGAAACAAAGCACAGTGAAAGACTCCCCTAATGTGGGCAAAGCGTGAGGTACAGAGACTTACCATGTTGTGCGCCGAAACTCGCCAGTCGATACATTGCAAATATAGCGCCATTGCACACAGCAGTTCTCCGGATAGACTTGGTTCTCGCCATAGGCAACAATAGTCTGGAAGCATCATAAAAGCTTTCAGAAAGAGGTTTGCCCCAGGGAGAGCCTCGCCGTTGGTTCTAAGACCAATAAACGCTTTGCCCAGAGCCATTATCACAAGGAATTGGATAAACCATAGTCCCGCCGTGTGTACATTCTCCGCGGGATCGCGATAAAACTCGTAAAGCCTAGCTACGAAGGTCTTTTCGTCAAACAAGTGAAAGATTAAGCCCGTGTGAAATTTAGTCACATTCATAAGGAAGAGGGAATGATCCAGGGAAGGCAATCCTGCAACACCCGGCATGACGGTGTGTCTTGTACCATCCCATCCCAGGTCATAGATTGTTGAATCCAGCCGCTGCATCCCAGCAGGGAATGGACATTTATAGAGCGTTTCGTGAGTGAGCTCCAGGAGACGCATCGTCAGCGACCAGGTGGAGCTATGCCCCAGATAATCTGTGCAGTTGTGTTAGTTGTTTGCAAAAGGACGTGGTGAGTTACAACGTACAAACTTTGCCGGTCCGATCTGCTATATACGTTGGAGGACCGGTAGTCAAAGGATTCACCATATTCCCATCGGTTGCCGCAGAGTCCGTGAACATTGACGCCGACTGAGGCGTGAGCATGGAGTTGCCGCCTGCCGCCGTCGAGTCGAGTCCATCGGCGACAGGGGAGGGTGCATATACACAATTATCATGATCCTCTGAGGACTCGTGTTGCTGGCGAAGAGCACGGTTGTCCCTTTCTAGCTGGATGATGCGCTGTTTCAGCTCCAGCAGATGCTTTTTTGTAACTAATACTTTATCGTGATCGCGCTCGAATGTACACACAGCATGTCGACGTTGACAATTGCGGCACGGGTTTTCCCCAGTGCACTTTATTTTCTGTTGACGACATCTCAGGCAACTAGCAGGAATCGTCAGCAATGTTTAACAAGCACAAATGTGGACGCTGACGTACGCGCTTATAGTCCGTCTATTCGTGAAATTACTGGTTTCACCTGTCATGAGAGGCTTTGCAAGATCGAGAGTCGTGGTAATAACTTGATGCGGGTCCGGCTTGCGGTTTGATTTAGAGAGAGCGGGGATCTTATCTTTTTGAGGGCAACCCCCCGCAGTACCCTAACATCTAGCGCCGGTCCAACAACCCAATAAAGGATCTAATCTGGCTCCAATGTGATCATCCTGCGAAGTCAAGCTCACTAATGTCGCTCTAGTGTACTCGTTACGAAAGCCAGTACATCTCTAAATGGTAGACTACTACAACTACCATCTCATCCACAGATAGGGAAGATCTCTGAATGAATGCCTTTACATGTCTAGCCTCAATACATACTCCTCTCGTTATCTTCTAACTGGACATCATCCACAAACCCAGTATGATCCAGATAAGGCGTCATTCCATCATCGACATGCGGCGCCTTCTCTTTTACTGTCCATCCGTTTCCAAACCAGCCAAAGTCGTTGCCATCATACGGGCTCACTTCAAAGTCCTCCCATCGAACCCGTGTTAGCGCCCTGATGGCGTGGAGGCTACTTCCTGGCCATAGAGCTGCGACCCGCCCCCGTTTTTGCGCTTCTGGGGATGTGCCTGGCGGGGAGGATTTGTACCAGCTCGCACATTCCGCGCTATAGACGGTGCGTTTAAAGTACTCTTCTGCATACTTGGTGAAATTTTCGACCTGTGACCGCTTCGGCTCTACCAACCCGATATTATCGTATGCCATTCGGGTCAGGATTTCCGACATATATAGATGCGTCTGCTCTATCGTGATAAGCAAATTCCCAGCTCCCTGGAATGAGTTCGGTCCCAGCGATTGGAAAAAGTTCGGGAAGCCATCCGTGCAAAGCCCCAGATAGGTCTCAGGACATTCGGCATAGCGTTGACGAAGATTTACTCCTTGCCGTCCGAGAATAGGGAATCCGCTACCCGGGCTGGTCTCGAAACCTGTCGCGCAGACAATCGCATCAACAGGACGGTGTTTTCCATCGGCAATGATACCCGTGGCGTCTACATTGGTGATGCTAGAAGTGATGACGTTAACCTTGGGTGAGGTCAGGGCTTCCAGATAGCCAGGGCCAGGCGCAATGCGTTTGCAGAGAGGAGGGAAGGTCGGGAGGAGTTGTTCCAAGAGTTCTGGTTTCGGCTTCAGTCGGTGCTCCATGTCAGCCTTGTACTCGGCCTGCGCAGCGATTTGCATTTTGCTTCCTCTTTGCGATTTCCCATGAAAAGTCTGCATCTTGAACTCTAGATCCTTCCGATAGCGAATGTATGCAGCGGGATCTTCACGCCATGTATCCTTCTCCTCTGCGGTGAACTGAAAGTTCCCTCCTTTCTGGCCTGTTCGCTCAGCGAGCTGCTCCCCACCAAGTTGGCTACAGATCCACATCTTTCCACGGATATAGTGGTCCATAGACTGCACGGTATCCAGAATAGCTGGGACAATCTGGATCCCACTGCTCCCACCGCCAACAACAGCGACACTCCGGCCCTGTAAATCCCACTCATCAGCGGAGCAACTCGGTTGTACAACGCGCACTTACCTACCTTAAGGTCATACGTCTCGTCCCAGCAAGCGCTGTGAAGTAATTTCCCCTTGAAACTGTGCAGTCCGGGAATTGGTGGCCATTTCCATTCGTTGAGCTGGCCCGTTCCCGTGATCAAGACATCAGCGCTGTCTTCAAATGTCTGCCCCGTTTGTAAGTCCAGCATCTGGACAAACCATTTCCCCAATGCCTCATTCCACCGAGCCCCAGTACATCGTTTCTCAAATTGGATATATTTTCGGACGTCGTATTTCTTCGCCACCCGTTTCCAGTATTCCAGGATTTCATCGGAGCCTGAGAAAAAGCTGCTCCACCCGGTCCAAGACTCAAAGCTAAGCTGATAGGCATGAGATGGGACATCTAAGCTCGTTAGAAGATACCCATCACTTTTGGATTGGTGCCCCGTACCGCATGCACATCCAGGATACCTATTCTCATACCAGGTGCCTCCCAGCTCGGGGTTCTTTTCATAAATCACTAAGTCTAGGGTAGGGACTGCCTGCATGAAACGTATGGCCGCAATGATCCCCGAGATACCCGCTCCAATGTAGACCACCTTGAGGGGTCGGGGTTGGTCGATAGCTCGCTCCGAGATGAACGGGCTGCTGTAGTTTATGGGGCCATGGACCTCGGGGCGGT